AAATTCACGCAAGATTTGAATTTTGCGTGAGCATTAACAACAACAACAAAAAATAAATAAAAACCTAATTTGACTTGGTTTATTGAATCAGATTCTAATATCTGTGGCCCTTGGATATCAATCCCTTCGATTGGATCAGCATCACCAAGTACCAATGACGGCCCAGGAGCAGGGACAAGGAAGACCCATGAAGACCGCGGCTTTGCGTCTGTGCCAGCAAAGCCGGGGAGGCCATGGACCCGATTTGCTGTTCCATCCATAACCCTAGACTGTGTCCTTTATGAATCAATAAAAAATTTACAATTTTTCATTACAAACCTGTGTTTTCCATCAAAATTACTTCTTGCGTGAATTTTGGGACACCCTACATATCCTATATAATAAAGAGCTAATATGCGAATGGTCGTCACGCCCTCACACCGTATGCGAATGGTCGTCACGCCCTCACACCGTATGCGAATGGTCGTCACGCCCTCACACCGTATGCGAATGGTCGTCACGCCCTCACACCGTATGCGAATGGTCGTCACGCCCTCACACCGTATGCGAATGGTCGTCACGCCCTCACACCGTATGCGAATGGTCGTCACGCCCTCACACCGTATGCGAATGGTCGTCACGCCCTCACACCGTATGCGAATGGTCGTCACGCCCTCACACCGTATGCGAATGGTCGTCACGCCCTCACACCGTATGCGAATGGTCGTCACGCCCTCACACCGTATGCGAATGGTCGTCACGCCCTCACACCGTATGCGAATGGTCGTCACGCCCTCACACCGTATGCGAATGGTCGTCACGCCCTCACACCGTATGCGAATGGTCGTCACGCCCTCACACCGTATGCGAATGGTCGTCACGCCCTCACACCGTATGCGAATGGTCGTCACGCCCTCACACCGTATGCGAATGGTCGTCACGCCCTCACACCGTATGCGAATGGTCGTCACGCCCTCACACCGTATGCGAATGGTCGTCACGCCCTCACACCGTATGCGAATGGTCCTCACGCCCTCACACTGTATGTGAATGGTCGTCACGCCCTCACACTGTAACGACCAATCAGCAGGAGGCTGCGTGCACAGCAGGTGAGGGTGGGCGGGGACTTGTGTCACGCTGTCACACTCCATCACCAAGAGGCCTGGGGCCCAGCGGAAGCCTCTGTGAACTGAGGCCTGGGGTTCCCGCAGCTCCGCATGGCGAGGTGGCGGGACCCCGGGCTCTGACCTACCTCTTTGTGGCGATCTGTTGAGGATCCCCGGATGGGTGCGCGAGGCCTACCTCTTTGGGGTGATGGATCGCGGGGCTCCTGCGCTGTAACAAGGCACAGGCCGGGCTGCGGGACTCCCGCCCTCAGTGGATGAATTTCGTGCACCAGGCCACTAGTCTATAATAATAAAGGCGTAATGTGCTAATTAGACCGGACAGCTGAATGATCTTGCGGACAGCATTCCAGTTGTCCTTCCAGATGACGCTGCGGCAGCGGGGGCCGAGTCAGAGGTGGTTAGGAGCAATGAGGCAGGCAGGCAGAGTGGTTAGGGGGGATCAGGCAGGCAGAGGGGTTAGGGGCGATCAGGCAGGCAGACAGCAGACAAGCAGTTAGGGACGATCAGGCAGGCAGAGGGGTTAGGGGTGATCAGGCAGGCAGAGGGGTTCGGGGCAATGAGGCAGGCAGGCGAGTGGTTAGGAGCCAGCCGTCCTGGATTGCGAGAGGGATGTTGGACATCCCCAGAGAGGTCCCGGATTGGGAGAGGGTGCAAGCTGGGCTGAGGGACCCCCCTCCTCTGTGCATGGATTTCGTGCACCGGGCCACTAGTATATATATATATTGATTTCAGAGAGAAAGGGAGAGAGAGAGAGAGAAACATCCATGAGGAGAGAGAATCAGGGATCGGCCGCCTCCTGCACGCCCCCGCACTGAGGATCGAGCCCACAACCCGGGCATGTCCCCTTGACCGGGAATCGAACCCTGACCTCCTGGTTCCTAGGTCGACGCTCAACCCCTGAGCCCCGCCGGCCTGGGCTCGATTTCATTTTTCTATTTGGGGATCAAGTCATCCACCAGCAGCTGCTTGCTGGCCCGGCCACGCCAGCGAGCGTAAGGTGTGCAAATACGATACTAAACGCGTGGACCCTTATTCAAATCTCCCCGGCCCTCCCCCAGGCCCGACACGGGGTTGGCGTTGGCGACAGAGGGTCGAGCTGCATTCGAGGCTGGTTCCTCTTTCGCTTCCCTCTCAGGGGGACCCTGACTGCTACCCCCAAATGCCCCTTTTGTGGGTCCCTGTGCCTGCCAGCCCCCCCCCACACACACACCCTGGGGCCTCTACCTGTCTGTCTGTGAGACAACCCATAGAAGTGAGGCCACAGAACAACCTCCACCTGCAAACCCTGATGAGTTGATTCCCTCGGGGCGGACGGCTGAATGGTGGCTCCCCCCCAAAACACAGACATCCCCGTCCTGACCCCCAGAACCTGGGGATGGGACCTCCTATTGGAACAGGCTCTTTGCAGACGGGATGGAGTGAAGGCTCGGAGACGAGGCCGTCCTGGGTCAGGGGGGCCTCCCTCCAGGGACAGGGTCCTTGTCGGACACAGAAGAGGAGACGCAGACACAGAGGAGCAGCCACGTGGAGACGGAGGGAGGCAGAGATGGGGGGAGGCGGCCACCAGCCCGGGGACGCCTGGAGCCCCAGGAGCTGGCGGAGGCAGGGGGACCCTCCCTGGAGGCTCCGGAGGGATTGGCCCTGGGACCCCTGATCTCAGACGCCTGGTCTCCAGGGCGGAGAGAGGACGAATGTCTGTGGTTTTAAGGCGCCCAGTTGCGTGGTTTTGTGTGGTTTGTTTTCCCGGCCGGACAAAACCAATACCCGGAAAACCTATTTGAAAAAGTTTCATGGTTGCCATGGTGTTAGCAAGTGTTACATAGTTGCCATGCAGTCGGCCACAGAATTAGCGAGTGTTACACTGTTACCATGCACGTGGCCCTGGGACACCCGGTCTCCAGGATCGACAGGAGGGAGCGTGGCCCTGGGACACCCGGTCTCCAGGATCGACAGGAGGGATCGGCCCTGGGACACCCGGTCTCCAGGATCGACAGGAGGGAGCAGGGCCCTGGGACACCCGGTCTCCAGTATTAACAGGAGGGAGCGTGGCCCTGGGACGCCCGGTCTCCAGGATCAACAGGAGGGATTGGCCCTGGGGACACCCGGTCTCCAGGATGGACAGGAGGGAGCGTGGCCCTGGGACACCCGGTCTCCAGGATCGACCGGAGGGAGCAGGGCCCTGGGACACCCGGTCTCCAGGATGGACAGGAGGGAGCAGGGCCCTGGGACACCCGGTCTCCAGGATCGACAGGAGGGAGCAGGGCCCTGGGACACCCGGTCTCCAGGATCGACAGGAGGGAGCAGGGCCCTGGGACACCCGGTCTCCAGGATCGACAGGAGGGAGCAGGGCCCTGGGACACCCGGTCTCCAGGATCGACAGGAGGGAGCAGGGCCCTGGGACACCCGGTCTCCAGGATCGACAGGAGGGAGCAGGGCCCTGGGACACCCGGTCTCCAGGATCGACAGGAGGGAGCAGGGCCCTGGGACACCCGGTCTCCAGGATCGACAGGAGGGAGCAGGGCCCTGGGACACCCGGTCTCGATATCCTCTATAATAAAAGCATAGTATGCAAATTGTCCCCTCAATTGGGAGGTCTCCCGGGAGTTCGACCAGGGGCCAGGGCCAGCCGGGGGAAGGGAGGGCGTCCACAGCCAGCAGCCGGCAGCTGCTAGGAACCCTAACAGTGCACAAATTTCGTGCACTAGGCCTCTAGTGTATATACAAGCAGTGGTTCAAACACACATACTGGTTCTTAACTAGTGTCTTTTACAAATTCGTTGGCTGCAAAGGCATTTTGTGAATGGATATTTTATTTATGTTTTAAATATATATATTTTTTCTAATATCTTTTTATTGATTTCAGAGAGGGAGAGGGAGAGAGAGAAACATCCATGAGGAGAGAGAATCATGGACCGGCCGCCTCCTGCACGCCCCCTACTGGGGATGGAGCCCGCAACCCGGGCATGTGCCCTTGACCGGGAATCGAACCCTGACCTCCTGGCTCCTAGGTCGACGCTCAACCACTGAGCCACACCAGCCGGGCTTCGTCTACCCTCTTGTTCCCGGATGCGTGTCCCAGCATCCCTTGCAGCTACGCGGGGCTGTTTTGTTTGCGAGCTTTGTAACCATCGGAGTCAGGAGAACAAAAACAGGTGTGTGTGTGCATTCAAACGTAGACACCTGTTTCGGTTCCGTAACCACCTAGTTCCTTCTGATTCAATGGTCACTGGGACCAAGACGGATCTGAGGAGCCCTGGCCGGTGTGGCTCAGTGGATAGAGAGTCGCCCTGCAGATGGAAGGGTCCCGGGTTCGATTCCTGGTCAAGGGCACGGACCTCGGATGCAGGCTCCTCCCTGGACCGGGCCCTGGATGGGGCTCATGCAGGAGGCAACCCATCGATGTGTCTCTCTCACATCGATGTTTCTCTCTGTCTTTCTCTCGATCTTCTAAAAATCAATGGAGAGGATTAACAAACAAACAAACAAAAAATCAAAACACAGAAGGATCTGAGGGCCTTAAATTCAATAGACACATGGCTACACAGTCACTGAACATAAAAGTAAAAAATAAAATTATTGCCCGGCCGGCGTGGCTCAATGGTTGAGCGTCCACCTAGGAGACAAGAGGTCAGGGTTCAATACCCAGAGAAGGGCACATGCCCGGGTTGGGGGCTCCATCCCCAGTAGGGGGCGTGCAGGAGGCGGCCGGTCCATGATTCTCTCTCATCATGGATGCTTCTCTCTCTCTCTTCCACTCTGAAATCAATAATATATACATATACCATATCCTATATAATAAAGAGCTAATTTGCAAATGGTCATCACGCCCTCGAGCCCTTGTGTCCTCGCTCCAGGACCGGGGGACCTGAGGCCGAACCCCCCGCCCTGCAGGCCTTGACGGGGGTGGGGCCGGTCGGGTCTGGGTCATGAGTTCGAGGCCCACGCGGGTGGGCGGGGACTTGACTCTGGGCCCCGCGTCCCGCCCCAGACTCTGACAGAAGGGAGATTTTCATTAGTACATTTTACTAATTTCCTTTCATCTCTGACACTTCTATTATAGAGAAAGGTCAAATAGCCATATTAACATATTTCATCTAAATTAATCCCCTTTTAATGTGCACGAATTTTGTGCACCGGGCCACTAGT